TCTACTATACTAAAGATATAACAACTTTGCGTTGTTTGAAATTACACAGCTGTAGACATGATAGATAAAATATCATATTTTCCTGGAACATGTTGAAATTTCGATGTAGTAAACGTGTGCAATTGTTGATGCAGTAAAAACCTCTTACCACATTACGCATGATATGTAATGTTCTGCATGCATCTCCTGCCATGAGAATCCATACTCGGTCCATACATTTACTAGTTTTTCTCTCATAAATACAGATTTGGTTTGATATTTGTCTGTACCTGTAGAAATCTTATTACTAACAAGATATCAGACATTATTCTTATTGGTAATTCTATTTCAGAGCTAGTACATTTCGATATGACCTATGTTTAAAATTGAGAATGGAAATGGGGAATGTGTCAAAGAGACAACAACCCGACCAAAGAGCAGAAAATAGCCGAAGGCCACCAATGGGTCTTCAATACAGCGAGAAAATCCCGCACCCGGAGGCGTGCTTCAGTTGGCTTCTAAACAAAATTGTGTACTAGTTCAGTGATAATGGACGTCATACTAAACTCCGAAATATATAAATGAACTAAAATGAAAAAATCATACAAGACTAACAAAGACCAGAGGCTCCTGACTTGGGACAGGCGCAATGTACAAAAAACAAACACACATCAATACGCACAGTAAAAGTCAGTTTAAAAGAAGTCCGAGTTCTATGTCAGAATAGGTAACAAAAGAAACTAAACAAAATGACAATGATACATAAATTAACAAAGGACTACTAGCAGTTACTGACATGCCAGCTCCATACCTCAATTTAACTGATTGAAAGATTAAGTCTTCATCATATGAATATCAAGCACAATCCCTCCCGTTAGGGGTTTAGTATCATACCATCATAAAATATATGAGACGAACATAACCCATATCATGCCAACAACTGGTTTTAGAATAAATGTGTTTATTTCCGATGCAAAGACCCTATAAGTGAATCAATATTAAAGCCAAAATATGCCATCTTTAAAGACCTGACAACAGTATCGTAACTATATCCCTTCTTAATAAGTCTGTTTAAAAGTTTTGTTAGCTTTTGAGGTGAATGCCGACATTTTTGTGATCTGTAAAGAATATTACCATAAAATATTGGATGTAAAATACCTGAACGTATAAGATGTCTGTATGTTGATTTATATTTACGAATGATGTCCTTGTACCGATGATAAAATTAAGAAATGTTTTGACTAGTTTGTGATACCGAAAACCCTGGTGTACTAATTTTTCAGTAATACATAGATTTCTTTCGCTAAAATCTAATACGTTGTTACATACCCGAGCGAATCGTACAAATTGAGATATATAAACACCATAAGATGTTGACAAGGGAACGTCACCATCTAAAAAAGGATAAATAACAATAGGAAATGAAAAATCATCTCTTTTATCATAAATTTTGGTATTAAGCTTCCCGTTAATGATATAGATATCAAGATCCAGGAAAGGGCAGTGTTCATTGTTAGTATTAGCTTTATTTAAAGTTAGTTCAACAGGATAAATCGTTTTAGTGTACATACTGAAGTCGTCATTATTGAGAGCCAATATATCATCCAAATATCTAAAGGTATTATTATATTTTTGTATCAGATGTTGTTTGCATGGGTCTTTGCTGATTTTAGTAATAACTTGTAACTCATAACAATACAGAAACAGGTCCGCAATAGGTAGTGCACAGTTAGTCACCATTAGAATTCCGATAACTTGATGATATACGGAATCTCCAAAGCGAACAAAAATGTTATCTAGTAAAAATTCAAGGGCAGTTATAGTATCAAAGCATGTCCAATTGACATAATTCTTTTGATTGTTGTTACTAAAAAAATACCTTTAAGAGTTTGAACATATATATTTGCATTCTGACTTTTTAAATGCCCATTTAATTAGGTGTACATGTGTGAATTTTTTCTTAATAAGAATATGAGGCAAAGTGGTATATAGGGTAGAAAAATCAAAACTTTGAACAGATTCAAAATCACCAATATAAGCATGCAATTTATGAAGTACTACCAAGGAATTTTTTACACTCTAAAAGTAATTCATTCCACTATTTTCAAAGGCCTTATTTGAACAATTTATTATCAGGTTTTTGATTGTACCATTGTGTACTTATTTATCATTTGACTAAATTTCTTCATAAAATGCGTCGTTTGTAAATTGTTAACCTAATCATGCTAATACAGATAACATCGTTCTCAGTGATTTTCAATCTTTTTTAAAGGGTCAAGCTGAATCTCATGGAGTTTTTCTATTGTAACCTTTTTTGGACATGTTTTGCTAAATATGTGTTCTTTGGTCTCTGGTACAAAGACAACATATAATTTTGTTATATAAGGACAACTTTTGCAGCTATTTGAATAGATTTGTAGATGGACGACAGATAGCTTCTTTATTTTGTGTATTTATAATTTCCTTAATCAATTTCATCTAAGTTATGAAAAAAATAAGTAAAAATAGAACTACTTCATAAAAACATATATTTATCACATTCATTATTCAAATTATAGTGACTCGGACTTCTTTTAAACTGAGTTTTACTGTGCGTATTGCTGGTTGTTTCAGTTTGCCTTATAGGTATAGGACGAGGTGAACAGATCTCACAAAACATACTTAATGCATTTTTGCACCTGTCCAAAGGAAGAACATGTAGCATTTTTTTAGTCTTGTATGTTTCTCATTTTGTTTCAGCTCCTTTGAATACCCATTGGTGGCCATTGCCTGTTTTCTGTTCTTTGGTCGGGTTGCCTTGAAACATTCCCCAATTCCATTCTCTATTTATTATTTACAATATTAATGTATAAATTTTGTAATTCATAATTAGTTCTCAGTTTTCATTTTCAGAAAACTTATACCACAATAAATATAAAAAAGTAACAAACGGCAGACATCTTTTTGACATAAAGAATGGTACTTATTGTCACAATTTGCAGCTATAAGAATGTACTTCGAATCTCGTGTAAGCATCAGTGCTACGCAACTGTATCCATTTTACTTTTCTATGTCAGTTACAGTATCTAAATGCAAACAACATATTTTAACCAACACATACATGTAGGCACTCAAACCAATAAGCTTAAGAAATATAAACACAAACAACATAAAGTAGCATGAATTAAATTTTGTTTTGTTGCAGTTCAGTTCATTCGTTGTTCCGTTGTTTTCCTCTTATAGTTGATGTGTTTACCTCGGTTTTAGTTGGTTAATCGGTATTTGTTTTCTCTTACTCGATTTTTGACTGTTGAACAGCAGTAACTTATTTTATTAAACAGAAGTAAGTTAAATGCAAAATAACGTAAAGGAAGTAAGAATATTTAATCGTCATATATAGATCAAGCTTAGTTTTCCTTTTAAGAATTTTATAAGTAAAACGAACATGGACTGAAGTAAGTGATATAGAAGGTTGGTGTGGGGTTTACAAAAAGAGAAAAATGGACAAAAAGTGCAGATAAGAGGGCAAAAAGCATGGAGAATAGAATAGAAAATAGGTAAAACAAATAAAGAATTGAAAATAATGGGGTACCTAAATATAAAGAATGGAGAATAATGCACACAATTTATAAAGAATAGAGAAAAACGGTTAAAAAAAAATAAGAAATACAGAATTGAAGGATCCCCTTCCAGACCCTTATAAGAGTCAAACTTAACACACATCTAGGAATTGACAATTAGTGTCGGTTGAAAACAAAACTTTACGTCAATAGAGATGATTACAGCTTCCCAATTGTGAACTTTTCATTTCTATTTAGCTATATTCCAGGAGGGGCCTGCTGCATACGGATTATATATTTCCCAGTCGATATGATATTCCAGGGGTTGTATTTCCTATCACGATTTCCTTGATAGAAGGTTGCTGCTCACCATGATGCTATCAAACTAAGAGTTTCAAGTGGTTAAGTTGAAATCAACTGTTCGTTAAGTTTACGGACACCACCACGAGTTGGTTGACCGTTATTGAATATCCGTGTTGCAGATGATAGCGGAAATTTTCCCAATGTTGTAAATACAATCCTGTCTCATTTTCCTGAATGTGATCTACCGATCGAATTAGACTAATTACCGGGTATGTACCAGCATAAGCAACACTACAGGTGCAACATGTGGATCAGGATTAGCGTACCCTTTGGGAGCACCTGACATCACTCCCGAGGTTCCAGTTACTCAGTCTTTAGTTTTCTATTTTTTGTTTTGTGTACTATTGTATTTCTGTTGTTCTTTTTCTTTCTTAGCCATGGCTTTGTCAGTTTATTTTCGACTTATGAGTTTGATGTCCCTTTGGTATCTTGCGCCTCTGTTTTAAAATGGAATAGTATGTCATGATAAGTCTTCCAGTCATTAGACATTTTGTTATAACATAGTTCCGTTTTTAGATATTTTGTTATAACATAATTCCGTTTTTAGATATTTTGTTATAACATAATTCCGTTTTTAGATATTTTGTTATAACATAGTTCCATTTTTAGATATTTTGTTATAACATAGTTCCGTTTTTAGATATTTTGTTATAACATAGTTCGGCTTAGGACACTTCGGTTGATGTCTTTATGTCTATTATCAGACTGTTAAAACCTGTTTAGTGCCTGCTTAGTAGGTACTTTTTTAAAGTATTATATTATGCATTTTCGATAAGGTTGTATTGTAAGCAAAGTATCAGCACAGCTGTGTCTCAGATACAATTATAATGAAAAACAACTCAAACTTTTAGCAAGACTCCGCACTATCTTCATCAACAATTATAAATAAATATTATGACTTTTTGTTTGCTAACATACTGACAAGCCGTTATAATGGCGATAACGTTTTCATACACGTTTTGTACGTAAAACAAAAAAAAACCTATAAGGATATTTTCTAAGTATGTCAAAAAATTGTTGGTTTTTGCCACCTGCCAATCATAATTGCTTCAAGCTATGCTGTTACTTTTAACCAGTGTAAAGAAACCCACACATCAGCTTTTCACGAAAACTCGAGCATAAATATGTGATTTAATTTATCTTTTGTATTGAAAAAGTAAAATAATAATAAAAAAAAGAACTCCAAAGAAAATTTAAAACGGTATTTCCTCAACAAATGGCAAAATTGAGAGCTCGAACATATCAAACTAATGAAAAACAACTGTCCTATTCGTGACTTGGTACAGACATATCCTTGTGTAGACAATGGTGGATTAAACCTGGTTTTTAACTGGCTAGCATGTTTGCTAAATCATATTATCTTAGTAGCTGAAAATGTTTTGATGATTCTGTTATAATGTAATACTGCGAATGTTATTATGAAGATATATCATACTTGTATTCCAAACAATTCTCTCTTTAATGAAACTATTGTGCCATATTTTGTCTGCTCTAAGATCTTCGTTATTATCACACTTGTTGTTCAAAAGTTGAATATATCTTCCAGACCGATTGCACGCTTGTCTTGCATCATACCAATTCAACATAATTTCGTAACATTTGACCTTGAGATTCCTGATTCCATCTAACAAGTTAAACAAACAAAAACTTATTAAAATGAAAATATATGATAATCAGTGAGCGACTAACAATCGAAACAATTTCGTGTAAAAACGACCATATATTTAAAGTATCGGGTTTAAATTTACATTTATGTCCTCTTTAGTTTTATAAGCTTTTAAATGCTTGTATACGGTTTTCGATTTTAAAGTATTTTGCCTTTGGGTATCACTGAAGAGATATTAATTGTCGAAATGGCCATCTTGTGCAGTCAAATTAGTACAAATAAGGTTTTGCTACCGCAGGGTCGGTACCACTGCTGGTGTAAGTCTCAGAGAGTATCAGACGCTCAGTAGCCAGTACTTTGGTATTGGCATATAAATACGGATAGTGTTAGATTGAGATTTGGTTCCATGTGGAAACAATTTTAAATTAAAGAATATACTCCCTCATGCGAAGCTCTGATTTGGATATCCCATCGGTTCTATCACAGTTGCAGCATAATGGTTAACATGATTTATTATTGTTTCGTTTTATATAAAATCCATAAACATATTACACTTGTCACTTGTAACGTACATGGATTTTCAATTTCTTCTTCATCATATATAGCAAATAATCTTATAATAGATCTCAGGATTAAAAGTTTATACGCCAGATACGCGTTTCGTCTACAAAAGACTAACCTTTGACGATCGAATTAAAAATGTAAACACAGAGTATTAAGGACACAAAGTTTAATTTTGAGATGATTTACAATTGCACAATGTATAACCAGTCACAAAATTACTGATAAATATCATGTATCATAAAACTAAAACCATTGATAAACATAAATGCTCTTCAAATTCATTTTTTTTTGCCCTTTAAACTTGTGTGCGTTACAAATGGCAAGCGTAATATGCATATAAATGTTTATTCAACTAAGTTTATAACTGTTGTGTAATAGCCGTCATTGTATACATGTAGCGATTCTGTTGAAAAGATGTTGAAAATCGACATTTGTTCAAACCCAGATCAAGAATAAATGTTTTAAATGATTTAAAGAAAGTTTAAGATTCAATTTCTTCTCGTTTCATTGTTTTCTATTAAATCGTAATAAGAATTCAATGTAGAGCAGTGAAATGTCGAAAGTAATCAAATGACGTCCACACTAAAACAAAATCGAACACACAAATGAAAACTAAAACAAGACATACTATATATTTCATACTGAAGAATCCCAATAAAACAGCAATACAGTTTGTAAACAATGTTATTTCGACCAGAAAGTTAAATTAAGCCCTTTCAGAAAAAAAAAACATTTACCTAATGGTGCATGTCAGCATTCGTTTTCGAGAGGTATAGTGAAGACATGATAATTATGATTAAAGAGTTTGCTAGTTATCAGTTAGAAATAGATTATAGATTAGCTTAAGTCAACACAGTGGTCAGTAGAGTTTCTAGAATTATAAACCCAATGGCATATTTCCGGACGATAACACTTTCATTTTCGGAGACAACCCAGACGATACCAAGTTTCAATGATATATGCTTTAACGCATTGTATAATGACATGTGTAAGATCACTGATAAAAATACATACTTCAGTTTACCTTAAACATTTTTTTCTATTGAAAGCAATCGTTTGTTTTTATCACAATGTATTAATTGGGGTTTGACTGTACAATTTATATCATTTTTTTTAATGTTTTGGACAGAAACAACTTTTTTCCGCCGTTTACCAAAAAAAAAACTTCGTTAGCGCAGAATTTAATAAAATAATCTGAGATTTTGTTTATTTATCGGTACATCAAAAAGGGAAGTAATACGAGATAAATTTAAAATTTTTAAACTGTCAATATCACGTTTAAAACAAAAGTATACAATCGTCTTGGTGTTACATGTACATTACTGTTTCTTTTTTCGTGCCAAAACGAGTTTATACACACACCATGTACATGTATCTAAATATTTTGCTTTTCTTTGATGATATCAAATTATCAAACAGTCTCATCTTCTATATGTGAACATTACGAAATTAAAAAAAGAAGGGGGAGAATTGATATTCGATTCTGATTCTGAATTTGTAATAAAAACTCAATTTGTTAAGTAAAATACTAGACAAAACAGAGGAAACAGTTATTATGAATAATTCTTTAAAATTAGAACGTCTGAGTGGTTATACCTTATTGCTAAAAAAAGGAATACCCATGATGGAAATATGGGATACAATTTTGGGCAAATCTTTGAAAAAACTAAATTTGTTGACAGTATATAAGTCATATATTCCGTATTCTAAGGTTTTGATGTTTAATTACGCATCTTGTTGTGTCAGGATTGTCAATTGAACAATTTTGAAACTGACTAATGTGATGAACATTGTACGACAAAAATACCTTAAAATATGCAAAACATAATCTACAGTTAGATCAATACTCGTAGTCAGATAAATTGGTTAAATGTAAATACTTATGTACAAAATGTATATCACAGCATTTGCATAATGTTATTATTAACTTTAATGTGCCTATAAACGACTAAAGTAAAATATAGTAAGTAAATACAAACCGTTTTAGAAGATGTCCAATTATCACATTCTTCGACTTAACATGAAAACAAACATATATCGATTGATGACTTTTGAACACCGGTACACTACTGTTGCCTTTATTTATATGTTGTTTGTATATTTTGTTAAATTTCTAGATCTTTTAAAGTCTATTACTGTTTTCCGGTTTATTGCGGATTCGAAATTATATGCACATCAACCAATTGTTGTTTTGCATAGCGAGATTATCACGAATTTGTCAATAGTACACTCAGGTGGTTTGCATGCTCCTGATGTTTACCCGTAAAAAATATGGACAGATTACGTCATAGAATCTGCATTTCTTTTTATCTATTGTGTTTAATAAGCTCATAATTCGATTTTCAAGATTTCAATAAAAAAATAAAAAATAAAAGGATTTTGAATATAAATATACCTGATTGTATGACTTCTTCACACTTTAACTTTAATTCTTCTTTACATCTAGTACGTTTGACTTGTGTACTGCTGCCGGACGTATAGAAACAATTTCCACCGATTTCTGCACCTGTAATTCGTTATTAGGCATAATTTGTTTTTACTACCAAAAAGCGTTCTTCAAACGATTTAACTTATTGTGTAAAACAAGTTTGAAATTAATGAAATCTTAATAGTGCAGTTATTACAATTATTACATTTTAGGTGGCTTCTTTTCTGACATTTTCTAACTTACATTTGCGTAACAGGTTCAACACCCTCAGACACCTTTTGTATACAAAACATTTGTGTTGATCCTTCCTGATAAATCATTGAAAGTGCAATTATCAACAGTGCTCTTGAACGCACACAATTTATAATGTACCAGTAATTAATGTTTAATCAATGTTACTCTTGTACACATCATAACAATACACTATCGGGTCAATCGTTATATTTCTCCGAATAGATTTCCGGTATTTACAGACTGACACTGAACTATCAAATAATTATCAATCCAAAAAACATGCACCCAAAAAGTAATTAAATTCAATGAGCATGTTGATATTTAGATGAACTATATTTGCAAAACACAACCATATGTAACAATTAAGATTGAGTTATCATTTCAAATAAAATGCTTAGATTCATTAATACTATCGTATATTAAAACAAAATTAATTATAACTGAAACATTTTCAATTCCAATCAATAAATTCAAGATTAGCGATAACTCTTGTCTATTAATATCATAAAGATAATTCATAGATCAAAAACTTACTCATCGGTAATTCCATCAGTTTATACGATGAAAAAGATTTGTTTTGCCTCCACATCTGTCAAATTTGTCATCAACACATTGCATATCGCAGTCGTGAGTAGAAGTCTTTTGTATTACATCTATCATCTCATTCCATTGTCGTTGCGTTTTCTCCGGCAAACAATAGCACGTTTCATTCTATTTGATATCAAATAAAGTACACTATAACAACATTAAAATGAGACATATCACAATATCTTGAATTAGATCTGCAACGAGACAAATTACACTTTACAAAAAATGAGATAGTCATCCACTGGAAATTTAATTGCATCATAACTTGGATGACCGTTATGAAAAATCTATGTCACAGATGGCTACTACTGTCACGTTGCCGAGTTTAAACGTTTACACGACATCAGCAACACTTCGAGTGCAACAGTGCTTACTACAAACAAAAAATATCTTGGACTTCTCGAGCATAGAGCGCACTTTTTAGTTTGATGTTGATATGTCTTTTTTTCCCGTCGTTTTTTACAACAAGTAAGGTCTGTCTGTATTCGATCCATGTTTTTTTTAAATCGGTCTTAGTGATTTTCTTTCGTTAATGGTCAATTATAGTTCACGAAGGCTATAATTATTGTATAACTTGACAAAAAAGAAGATGTGGTGAAATTTTTTTTCACAATAAACCAATAGACATGAATCTAAGCAAATGTAGATGACCTTAAACAAGAGACATACCTATATGCGCTCTAAGAAATATAAACAATAATATCCAACTGTAGGAATTATATTTGCATAGCACGTAAAATCCGATGATACTTAATACATTACCACGATGGTATTTAGGTATATGGTAATGAGATATATTCAACCAACGTGGTAAACAGATGTGAATTCGCATACATTTTAAAGATCTACAACAAATTTTGTGTCACAATCTTGACTTGTTGGACTTGTTGATAAACAACATATGCGTTTAGTTTGCTTGATTGATATTTCAACACACATTTTTTGAACGGTATTACTGGTCGACATATTTTTTCGTATTTCTAAACATGTATAAGCAGATTCTTGTAGAACCTTCACAAAAATGTAAAAAAAAAATTAGCTTGTTTTGTCATTTTATTTTCAGATATATCCATGATGTTCATGTATTGATTAACCATATATATTACATTGAGTGCTTTCATCTCATATATATCATTCAACTTAAAATTAAGATAACTACGGAAATCACATGATCTTTCCATCGATATTAAGGTAGCATTCCACAGTTAGGTGTAAAAGCTAGTGTGCAACAACATTCATTTTCGGATAGCTGAAGATTGATATAGCCTTCATAGTGAGTTTATAGCAACATCACGGTGTTGTAATGTATGTTTTATGGGCTGTTTTCAGTATGACAATCCGTATTTGTATATCCATACCAGACATTGTTCCGGAAAGTTTTGTAATAAAATTGAGAATGGAAATGGGGAATGTGTCAAAGAGACAACAACCCGACCATAGAGCAGACAACAGCCGAAGGCCACCAATGGGTCTTCAATGCAGCGAGAAACTCACGCACCCGGAGGCGTCCTTCAGCTGGCCCCTAAACAAACATGTATACTAGTTTTTACTAGTATACTAGTAATGTTTTTTCCAACTTTTTGTCGCACGAACTTTTTTTGTAAATTTTACTAACAAATTAAAAACACCTACTTTTTATTTGCTCGTTTGGTAGATTAATGTCATTAGTTTCAGAAAATGTATCTCTCAAAGGAATTGAAAATCTAGTTTGGACTAAATTTTTGGGTAATATGTGACATTTTCATCCCCCTTTTGCAATATTGTATGGTAAATGAATGCAGAATGTTACCATGAATACACAAAAAAGGATTTTAATTTCACCATTTTAACTTTTGAAAATCAATCTATGAAAGATACTGATTACAAATAAATGTAAAAGATGCACGTCTATGACAAAATAGTTGGCTTAATTTATTAGAAAGGTAGGAATAGAAGAGGATTAAACATTTTGTTGTTCAATTTTATTTTTTTATTTTCTAACTGTGGAGTTCTAGCTTATCACAGACGGACGACTTTAATCTATATTCTTTGAATAACGTTGTGATTTCAACTAACAAATTGTCAACTTCATGTTTTTTAATAATAACACATTTTCTGACCAGTCGTAAAGCATGTGCGAATCTTAACAATTACCTTACGCTTGAACATTGCCACATTAGACAGATTAAGATCTCTATCATGCAATAAGTTAACAAATAACAAATTAAACATCTGTTTGTTTTAAACACTTACAAAGCAAATTTTTTTTGGGATATTGTCTAATCATGAAGTTTTACTTCCAAAGCCGAATGCTTGACAGCGGAAAAATAATTAGTAGAGGTTGAACTGGTTACCTATTTCAGTTCATACCTTGATACACAATTAATCATTTCAATTCTAGTAATTTAAACATCTTAAATCGTTAAAAACATACTCATATATCATGTATATTAAATAGGGCTTTAAATTCTGGAAAAGAAGTGGACATTTTATGTTTTGCTAAAAAAACAATTGAAAAATTACATTTGGTATTTTGCTAATTTTTATTTGAAACAAGAAAGAATGCATTTAATCTCAATAGAAGTTAAGTCTTGTACTTAAATTCTGTTATCACGGTGCGCTGTACCCTATATATTTTGTTTGGTTATTTAGTAAGTTTACGTATACATTTGTACCATAATCTCATTGTAGGTTACTGAACCTTACAATCTGACGTAACGAGCCTTTTTCAATTTGGATCCAAGGAGGAAGGCAGGAGACAATTGAACTCAAATATAAAACCAAAAATTTCAAATAGAGCTGAATTGGGGAGACTTTAATTTAATATCAAAATACAAACTTTGTTATATTTGAAGAAATTGGAATGTTGTTAGTTAAATCCTCTTTTGAAAGAATCTTCCATGCTTAGCAAAATTTTAGACACGGAAGGAGTCTACTCCTGGTTTACCTATGTACAAAATAGTCTATGTAAACTTAACAACATACTAGTTTGAACCTAAAATTAAATAGTTCATTTACAGTTTATATAAAAGCTACTTTGTAAATTTGATTCATAATAAGATGTCACAATTGATGAAATAAGTCAACTTTATTAATACATGTTATACTTGTTATATAAGAACCTTAAGCCATATTTATTTAAGAACACCAAACTTAACATATAGAAAATTAAGAATTAGTGATCATAATTTCGATAGAAACAGGAAGACATTCTAATTTTGATATAGAGCAAAGATTATACCTTAAATGTAACATATTAGAAGTTGAAAAAACCTTTTTCATTAGAACGTTAAATAAATAAGAAACTGAGAAACAACTTTGTATGACAATTTTAAATTAAGGTTTTCTATTAAAGTTTTCTCTGATGAAGCCAATGTGATTTTTATACTCAATCCATCAACCACATCACAAGTAAATAAATTGGGATCCTACATCAAAAAGTCATTAGAACCGAGAACAGGGGACATTGGACTTATAACTGTTTTTAAATTATTGTATTCATATATGTATGTGAAGTTCAGTTATACTGTTTACTTATTTTGTATTTGTCACAAACTGATAGTTTAAAGTTTATAGGCAATAAATATTTGAATTTGAAAATGTTTCTGATTTCATGCAGCCTATGTCTTCAAATATTCGGTTTTGATCGTTCCTGATGAAGGTAAATCCAGAAAAGCACTTCAACCGCATGAAATGTAAAACGTGTTATTCTAATATTCTATATATATTCCTATAATTATAAAAACTTAATCACTATGTGCTTTTGTTAGATGACTTTAATTTCTGCTTTGTATCGATCTGATGATTTAGGCCCTTGGCAACTGATTTTTATAGTTTGTTCTTATGTTGTATTGTTACACCACTGTCCCATGTTTGGAGAGGGTTGGCGTGCCTTTAAACTAGCTAAACACCATAACATTCTGTGTGTATATTTAAAGAAGATGTGGTATAATTGCCAATGAGACAACTCTCCACAATAGACCAAAATGACACAGATATTAACAACTATAGGTGCCTGTCCCAAGTCAGGAACCTGTAATTCAGTGGTTGTCGTGTGTTGCTGTATATCATTTTTGGTTTTTGTTCATTTTTTTGTACATTAATCAGGCTCTATTTTTTCTCGTTTGAATTGTTTTACATTTGTCGTTTCGGGTCCTTTTATAGATGAGTATGTGGTATGTGGTTTACTGATTATTTACGGCCGTTAGGTGACCTATAGTTGTAATTTTTTGTGTCATTTGGCTCTTAAGGAGAGTTATCTTATTGGCAATCACACTACATCTTCTTGATTTTATATTTTTTAAGATATATTAGTAAATGCAATAATAGATAATACCTGTAGTAAAATGATGTCTTTGTCCTTTAAGTTTCCATCTTGTTGACAAAAAAGAGAACACTTTTCGACCCCATTAAGGATCAGCTTTTTTGTATGTGTTAATAAATTTGCTGTACTGTTCACGTTGCTAAACTTCAAACACTCTAGAATAAAATAATAACACAACAACAAAAAAAAAAAAAAAAAAAAAAAATTGAAATAGAAACAGATTAGCCATTAAATGAAGGACCGATTGCATCATAAATGTTTGCGAATTTTTGGATAAAAAGGTATTTGATAATATTTTCCTGTCATTTTGTATTTGGAGCACCGATTTAACAGTTGCGTACCCTGACTTTTATTCCTAAAGAGACAAACGATTTGAGACTGCAGATTAACAGTAAATGGTTAAAAGCAAACCGGTGTTTCGGCATTTTCAAATGCAAACGTGGAGTTTTAAACATGTCCTTATGTATCCCTTATCGAGTGGTTCCAAGCGTCTACAACTGATTAAACCCTGATCATGCTTGTATTATGATTTGAATTGCCTATTATTTATACAGCCTGTACAAACATACTGATAAAACTTTAAAACATTGGTTTCACTGCAGATTGGAGAAGACCTGGGATCTATTTGAATGCTTTACCGCAGTCAATAATTCGGTCGATCGAAATGAAGGACAGGGAATTGAAACTGTCACTCGGAAAAGCAGGATGTTGGATATAGAATTGGTAAAGAAAACAAGGCAGTTCAACATGCATCATCAAACTAACATCCCTTCGTACTTTTATTAGCATTTACGTTTTTGATTCGAACGTCTCTATTTAGTCTCACGTGAAAAAAAAAATCTTTGTATAGATAATGAGTTTATCACGACTAACCCTTTAATACACTGGCATGTCATTCGGCTTTCCGGGAGGGTAAACGGCTTTTTTTACTGGCACAGCACAAGAATAATTATTTGATCATGTATTTTTATTTTTAGATAAAACGCAAGAAAATACGACTGACCTAATAGTGAGGTATTGTATTACAATTTATCTGTGCAATGCAAAGCAATATTCATCTGTCAGATTTAGTATCTAATAAACTATCACATACGTAAAAAGGATTCATGCTTGTTATGTATAAATTTAATTGATTGTCTTACTAGATACAAATAAACGAAAAACTTACCGACTCACACACACACATACATACATACACACACACAAAACAGATAGGTCAACAAATACATCTATATGTAAACATGCCTTTATGAATAGATGCCCGATTGAAATGATGAGCATAAAATAAACTCCAGTCAACCAATGTCAATACATGATCAGCATAGGTCTCTCTGATTATATCACATTTAGCTTATATACTTTAATCGCAAAAAGTTGAAATAAAAAATAGACGCAAAATTCGTAATTGACAAGAAAAAAACTTGCTGTTATACAATTTCGAAATCATTTTGAATTACGTATTGTATTTCATTCGTTTTAAAATCAGTTTTATTTCCCGGGTTTTGCCTCACTTTGGTGCTATTTGTTTTTGATTAGCTCTCAACGTTTGTATTAGTTTTTGGACATTCAAATACTTTATCCTTGTGCATCGCGTGAGAAACATTAAAGGTCAAAATGCGCATCTGGTGCAGTACAATTTGTATTGTACATATTAAAGATATGTTCATATTAAAGATATGTTCATATTAAAGACTATAATTTGAAAACAATAACAACTTAAAAACTTAAAAACTATTGATCACTCTATTTTACCGTGATATTCTATGACAGGGGACCGTACTGCATAGCCATCTTTCCAAAGAAAAGGAGGTTTCTTTTTTATATTTGGCAGTAGATCATTTGCATTAATAGTATGACATACATGTACATCTGAACGACAAGAATTGAATATGCCCTCTCCAGACAATGTCCAGCCATTTATGCAGTTATTGGCAGCCCTATCCCATGTATATATGGCTTCACTCACATTAAAAACTGAAAGATAAGTAAAAAATAATAGATATATATGCAAAATTCACCATATATTTCCATTTCCTGTATAATTTTCATCTCAAATTCACACGGAAGCAATCGTCCCGCGGCAATTTTGCACATTAAAATTCAACTTCAAGATGGTTCCTAACACTAGTACCTCTTTTGATAGAAGTTTGCATGCTATAATTTTTTGTATGACCATTGTTAACGGTTATGTGACAAAATAACGAATATCTTCCATTTGTGGTAGCCATAATCCAGTCCTCTTTTCCTTGTTTATGATTACGCCAATGCGACTTATGCATTGTGGTATTCTTTATGGCTGTTACTATTTCAGCAGGAGTTGCTGATATCTGTTAGCTTTAGATGACGGGAGTTAATATTTACACAAAATGAAAGTTGGTGCTTTCAACAATTTAAGGATTATTGATTGCACTTTTGGGTTGCATGAAATATTCTGAGTTCATACAATTTGTTGTATAAAGTACATTATGAATCACCTAATCATAAACAAAACAATAAAAAGATACAATTCGGTCACTACAGTTACACAAAATAAAGACCAATTTACATAACATGCATAAGTAGGAATACCTGTTGTATAAGGAGTTGATTGTAATGTCGTATGTTGTGTCCATAGACCGTTTAAATCTTCTGTTGAATCTAGATAAAAAAAAAATACATTAGTAATGTATGGTATGATAACAAATAGTACTCGCAAAAAAAAGATTGTCAAGCCTTTCAAACTTATGTTACTGCCATTGATAAAGCTAACAGGTTAATATAATTTGGATACCAGTGCGCTAAAGGTCACCTAAAATGTAAATCTGATTTTATAAATATGTAGACATTGAAATACTTGACATGAGATTGCCATTATACGTATTGAATCTGGACAAAATAGATATGCGTCTAGTGCCTTACTTTTATATACTAGTATATTTAAAATGATATACACATATTCATATATTCATGAAATACTTTCTGTAGCAAAACATGTTTGATGGTCAAGCCGTATTTTATGTATAAATATGAATGACAATATCGTTACATGAGGCTGTTTGATATATTTGCAATGTTGCTTTCAACAGTTACAATACAGGCAGTTTATTAATACCCCAGATACAAATATGTAAAATAAATTCACCATGGTTATCAAAACTGAACATCTGAAGGATGGTATTTGGCAGATATGATACATTTTGATTTTCGAATTCCATATACCGGAAACTTATTTACAGTGAATGCCAGTTTTCTTGTTGACGGTCGATATATTTCTCCGGATACAACTGGAATCCAGTTGCAGTAAAATGTGCTGGCAATATATAATCATGGGTGCTGAAAGTCGCGTTAAGCACCATCAAACAAACAAACTAGAAAGCATGGCCTTATCATACCTTTTCATTGATTTTCATACTTTCATTTAGTTCAAAGAATGGAGTAGCATTTTTAATGAAACAAACATTTATACACATGTGCGTGCATTATCTGCACAACAGTTGTTTTTACCACAATGCATTAGTTAACGTGTTAACATGTTGCCATGTTTGTTTTGTTTTGTTTTTCTTTTACAGTAAAACTGACATGGTACGATGTTTAAACATTTGTCATTCAAAAACTTTAAAAACTTACATACAGAAGGATATGTTTGAGATAACAAATTTCCAAAAACAAATATGTGTATGACACAATACATAAATCTATTTACAGTTACGCTTATACATATGCTTGGTAAGTGATAAAATGAAAGATTTATAAACATGTACTTTTACGACATCCGATCAGGCAGGAAATAACTATAAATTTATACGAACCAGACTTGATTTCCACCTATTTATAAAGTTATAAAGTGCTTTATGTGGTTTCTTGTAAAAGCCCATCCCCGTCTTACTTATGATATCCGAAGTGAACTGCCCACGCCTTTCTATTGTTTTAAATTTATTCTTTCCCAGTCAATAATTAATTGATAGATTATAGATTTTTCTTAAAAGGGCTAAGCTATTGTCATCACTTGCCATCCGTCCTCGTCGTAAACTTTCTCAAAGATCTTCTCTTCTCAAAGACTAAATTTTGGGTGAATGCTCCTTTTCGTATCTAATATAAAATTTGTGTGTTTTTTTGGGGGGGGAGGGGGGGTCATTAAATAAACAGGGCCGCCATGGTTTAAAATAGATCATACGAGTTAAATACCATTTCTGACGAAAATTTATATGTTGTAAAACTGGTCAGCAGGTCAAAATATATTAGACAAAACGGGACGGCGTCCGTGTACATGTAAGCCAAACATTTGTCATTTTAAAATAAAAAATAGATTTTGCAAATTGCTCTGCAACTTTTAAAGCTAGTTGGTTTGAAAAATGTAACAAAAATCGTTTGAAGTCACTTTTGAAAAATCATTTTCTTTATGAGATTTGAAATTTGTAATTTTCATGAGATTATATTTTTTGATTTCACGAGGATATTGAAACAAATAACAATAAGTTTGTGTTAAAAATGATTTAATTTTATCAAAAGTTTTAATATATTAAAACATTTGCATTTACTTGTTTTAGAAAAAAAAACATATTTCAATCTCATTCTTAAAAGCAAATATTGAAATTGCTGACCTTAAGCATTTTTCAATTTCATTTAAAATATTGAAAAATGAAAAATGCTCTAACGTGGAGCATTTTTCAATTTGACTTTGAATATTGAAAAATGAAAAATGCTCCAACGTGGAGCATTTTTCATTTTTCATTTTACTGTGCAATATTCAAATTTGAAAAATGTTCCCATCTGCTTCATTTTTCAAATGTCTAATAATGTATGTAATAGATGTAATATTAACCTGTTCACTGCGGTAGTATTTATTTTCAAATTTGTTTACGAATATTTTCTGCATTGTACAGACTTTCCTAATTTTGATTCTGTTTAATACAAACTTGTTATTACCAGGCTTATAATATTCACAATTCTCTGTCGCAGAATATCAAATAAGCATCACCTTATAAAAGAAAATGTGAATATACATGCATTTATGTGTGGTAAATGTATATTTCAAAGGATGAATGACTTCTTATATTTGCTTTTACCGAAAAAAATGTAGCTAAGAATATATGTGGAAAGTATTTCAACAAACAGAAAACAGTTTCCATGAGGTTCTGTGTCATGTACATTTTAATATCTTTTATTTAATATGCTTAACATCTTTAAAATGTGAAAGCAAAACGAGTTTTGTAGGACAAATATGTCGACACAAAAAATGGGTCTCAGTCAGTGACGATCTTCTTTTGAAATGAAAAAAAGTAAAAAAAACAGATCGACACAGATCGACACAGACGTATTTCAAATCATATACATCATGTACATGGAACAAATACTAGTAGTTACATTTAAAACATGATGTGCGCATTGTGTGTGTTTTTTTCAGGTTGGACCAACATACGGTCGGAAAATGATGACAGGTCATTTATCAAGCAAAGGAATCAACGTGTCTGAGGCTAGAGCTAGTAAAGCATTAGCGATAGTTAATCCTCGCTTCCATCATTTACGACAGCAGGTATAGGAAATAATTCATATCCCAATTATATCCTGGGTTTGACTTAAGTTTGCGATGATTCAAACATCTTATTCCTTCTTCGCTGATGGTTAAGTGATGAAACCCCCTGCGTTCATAACACTCTCTAAAGCACACAATATTTTTTTAGATATAACATGTAAACCTGATTTCAGATTTATTGATTTGTTTTATTTTACTTCCTCATTTATTCCTTTTAAACTGAAATTTGAATGCCCTTTTATAGATTTATTAAGACATTCAACTTGGTCACCAACGGAAATACATAGTGTTTAAACCTTTGCAATGATGACAGCGTATTATGCACATGGTCGACGCTTTCACAAAAGCCAAGAATTAAAACATAAATGCAGGATATGGAAAAACGCTGACAATTTTAATTCTGCTTTGTACTGTTACCACGTGACTGTTACCATGATCGGTCATGGATTTTGCGTTTTATTTGGGACATAAAACATCTCTTTCGAATAGCCTTAATTTTTGTTTGCTAGTCAAAAGAAAGGTCAATATAAACTAAATATATTATAGATAAATCTTTTTTCATTGTGTAAGTTTTTGTGTGTGTTTAAAAATCGTCTTCTAGTGATTCATGTCGATTTCTTCTTATATATCTTTATCTTGATATCGTTTTTTACTACTCCCCAATGGCATGACAGAGAATTGGGGCCTACAAACATTCTTAACAAGTACTTTCACTTTCTGTACCTGCCTACTAGTATCCCAAGCTATCAATTTGTATAAGTGTAATCCAGTTGTGGTCCTAATTTAATTTGCTGTCAGTCATAACTTCTTTTTTCATCGTTTTATCATAGTTTTGACCAGTTCTTTCTTTTTATTTTATTGTTTCAATTTTTGGTTTTGTTCGTGCTAATTTCCTATAATAATGATGATAACAAACTAAAATGTATAATTAGTTTACTTCGCTTCCTCTACCTAGTATTTGTTTTAGCAACCAATAATCAATCAATCTAGCTATTATTTATTTGTAACAAACGTATATAATGGTCCTTTCATTTGTTTTTTTTAATTATCATTTCTCTGCAGGGGACGATGTTTTGGAATATTGTTTCGTATCATTTTGTAATACGCTTACGGAAATTCAAATATAGTTATACAAGGTTTAACTTAATGTAAATGACAGAAAGTTCATACACTTGGTAGCATAGCATTCAATACTCTCCTTTTTATGTGACAATATTTAAGAGTTATGGAACTTTAACCACTGTAGGGTAAAATCAACTGTTTCATACTAATTAGTTTCCCCCGGGATATAAATAAAAACCAAGAACTTTCCATTTTGTTATCAGAATAGGAACGAGAATTGGGCAAAGAAACAACAACCCGACCAAAAAGCAAAAACAGCCCAAGGCCACTAGTGGGTCTTCAATACAGCGAGAAAATCCCGAACACAGAGTCGTGCTCCAGCTGGCCCCTTAACACAGAATGTGTACTAGTTCATCGAAAATGGACGTCACACTAAACTCCGAAACATATAAATAAACCTAAATAAAAAAAATATATATACAAAACGAACTAAGGCTACATAGAAAGATAAACACATCATCTTCTTCTTTTTATTTTATAGTACATAACTTAAGTAGTTTGTGCAAGCAAATGTACTTCCAGTGTGACTTTCAAAAATAACTTGATAGTTGCTTAAGGTATATCATACTTTTCAAACGATTCGGAAGTTGACATAATATATGTATAGAGACACCCGTCTTCTGTTGAATACAATATAAGTGCTTCCCAAGAGATATCTTTTGGTTATGTGTTTCGTTGCGTTGTTGTTTCGCTGACGTGTAAGCGACATCTTTTTCTGTTCATATCAGTATATATCAAATCGTCGTGTTGCGATGTAATGGAAAAAAGTATGAAGAGAGGTATAAAGCGATAATTTTAATAGAGATGCTGCTGATAGTACTAACTTACAAAAAATGTTTATAAAAAATTAACTGTCGATACATTTGAAGCATAATTGATAGTTAATCCGAACAGGTGTCGATAATAAAATTACAGTAATTTTTTTTGGGGCAAAATCCATTGCAAGTGTACTGACTGATTTTGTAGTCTCAGACACATGATGGTATATAGGTTGTTATTCGCTTTGAACTAACTTTCAGAAACTGCGAGCACTCTGGTATCTGTAGTATGTGTGTTAAGCCTTTTTTTCTTAATTGTTTCTGTTTTTTTTTATTTGATGAGTCAAGTCTTTTCAACTGATTTTTATAAGAAGTTTTATAAGATGCTGTTTTCACTGTTCAATGTTAAGGGGATGGTTGTGCACCCAAAACGAGTTTAATCACTACACATTCTATATGCGCCGTAAAATTAATTTTTCTCGAATGGATTGAATTGTTTTAAATTTTTTAAATTCGGAATATTTTGTAGCTTGCTATGCGGTATTGGTTTTCCTCAATGTTGAAGACTGTACGATGAATTATACTTGCTTACTTCATCATCATTTAATGTCTGGTGGAAAAATGGTTTCTTTGGCAATCATACCACATCTTATTTTTATAAACTTATGTAATAAACAAATACTAGTATTCGTCAGTTCAGTTACAAAGCACGCTATTTACGAATTGAGTAAATTAATGCATGAAGAGCGCAGCGTTATATATTTTCATGTGCCATGCGTAGCTATATATGAATTGTAATAAATGTACATGTATTAATTGGTGATGTTTTGTGTACTTGCTAAAGGGGAAACTAAGACAAAATAAGATAGCAACGTTTCTTCGGTATTGATTATGTGTATTGATTGCGTTACGTTCAGTAACAATAATAAAAAAAAAGATGAAATGACTAAACATTAAGTGACATATATTTGACGATTATAAAAAAAAGTATTCTGACACGATGAAAGCAGGAACCTACGGTACCAAAAATGCAAGACGGGAACCAGTTGCTCCTTTGGATCAGTAGGAAAGGGAGAGAAAACAAGGAGCATGTTTTATGCCCAAGTCACACTAGACCACGATCGCACCACGCTCACCTCGATCTAAAATAAATTCAGATCGTGGTGAGGTCGCGGTAAGAGCGGCATGAAAATGTAGATTTTCATTGTATTCACGATGCTACTACGTCCTCATTACGCCTCTACAACGATCCCGCTACGATTATACCACGTTCTCACTACGCTTATTCAGCGACTTCACTACGATAATCACGATCTTATTAC